GCTAAAACGAGTCAAAGATCACATCATCTTTCATAACATATTACTGCAAAAATGTCACAAACATTAAAGGCAGTGACTGAATTAACACTTGTTTTTATATAAATTTGAAGGTTGAACAACTACTTGTTGTGCAATATTATTTCATATTGACAAAACAAAAACAACCACTCACTCAGACTATTTTTGCACTCTTTCATTATTTGTGATGAAACCTGGAGCAACAGAAACATCTCAAACCAAAGGCATGCGTTTATGTAACATCCTGCTTGACTTTCCCCAGATGAGGAAATTAAACCCATATCTACTGTGGATCGTCTGTTTCTCTGTGACCTAACTCCTACTCATGACCAGCATTACTTCATAAAGGTGATTGCTCCATAAATACTCTCGCATGAATAAACTCTCTGTTTATTTGTGATTTTGTCTACGTTTGCTTAAGTAAAGTCACACAATTGCATTGCATTCATATTTTTCTCTCTTTTCAGTCACATTTATTGCCTTCCTCCCCTTTATTTATCAGTGTTTCAGAAAAAATATATTTAAGAGGAACTCCAGGTAAATTTTTCACAGCTAGTCATTTTTCTTAATAAAATAGGACCTTCAAACTTCAAAAAATGCCTTACAACCCAATAGTTACACTCAAGAGCATCAGCCAGCTTTGAACTTCTCACACTTTAAATAATTAACTGTCAACTCAAATAATTCATCTGCAGGAAAAATAATTGGCCATTTTGATCAGAGGCCTAAAAAAAGTTTGAATTTTGAGTTGGATATTTACAATTTTTTCAAATCCTTTAGAGGGTTAGATTAATCCAACCTGTGACACAGATGGTACACAAACCAAATAGGGGTCACAGAGCACAGAGAACACTCAAATAACAAACAATTAACTAACCATCAAATACTTTACAAAAGTTAGCTGCACTTTATTTCTGCTGGATCAGGGTTAGCTTTAAGTGTTCAATAAAAATGTATCCCTGATTCAAATGGATCTAAATGTGAGGTCAAAACCATAAATTAATCGAGTCAGAGCAGACCTCCTCCAAGGTCTAATGGAGCGTTAATAGATCAATGTTGGAAGGAAGTAGCTCAGGCTCTTCAATAAAAGCAGGATGTGGGAAACTAGACAATGGTCTTTAAATGGTGATGGGTTTTTGGAGTGTTTGTGACTGGAATACAGCAGAAACAATGGCAGCTTGATGGAGCATTCTGACCTACTCATCCTGGGCTGGATGACTGACAGAGTTTGGTTAATGTCAGAGCTTATCAGGACAGTTCAATGTGACCTTTAAAGTGATTGTCAGGGTCTTTGTCTAAATGGTGCGTTCTGATTTGGTGTGTCAGTGTCAGTCTTCTGTCTCAGATCAATGGCACCATAATACTGGTTTCAGTCCAGAACTCTAGGTTCAAGTCACATAGCAGGAATCAATATGTCGATGCAAACTGATTTTTGTAAATAAAACATCTCAAAAATGTTGGAAACTTTACTCTAAAGAAGGCAAAGAGGATATTGTATACATTCATTCTGTGTTTTTCTTCTGAATGCATTTTTAAGTAATTTTTTTAAACACAGGAAAGTTTATTTATTTTTTACCTTGCTGACAGTTTCGATCACTCCTGCAATCTTCATCAGAGCTAGCCGCTAATGGCGGCGTCACTTCCTTTTTCGTTTATTCATGGGCAACAGAGGATGGTGTCGCCCTCTGCTGCCCGCACTCTCCTCGCCGATGACAGTTCCATGCATGATCTAATGTGTAGGCCCCCTCGTCTCTGTTCCATGCCCACATCTCCATAATTCTATGGCTTCCATACATCTTTTATATTTTTGTTGTTTGGTGCTTAGGATCCTTGTGTTGTCCCTGTCAATTATATGGTTTTCCCTTGGGTAGTGGTCTGTTAAGTCTGATTTCTTTATTGTGCTTTCAGCTTCTTGTCTTGCTGCTCTTGTGTGTCTTCAGCTTGTTTCTTTCTCACACTCCTTTCTATGTTTTACTGTTCTTGTGCTGAGTTGAGTTGGTGGCTGGTTTCTCCTATGTATGTTTTTTTGCAGAGTTTGCATGGGATTCCATAAATGACACCACATTTATATCCTGCTGATATCTTGTCCTTTGGGTGTACTAACTGTTGTGTATGATTTTGTTGGTGTGTTTATGAAATGCAAATTAAAGAGGAGTTTTTCTCTCCACTGTTGCTACATGCTTGCTTAAGATAGGGATTGCTGTAAAGTCTCTGACAAAACTAGTCAGTGACTTGATGCGATCTGCTGGGTTCTCTTACACAGGGAACTTTTAACTAATGAACTGAACCCACTTACAATGTTTACTTTGTGAAGTGCCTTGAGACGACTCTTGTTGTGATTTGGTGCTATCCGTACATCCATTTTCATCCGCTTATCCAGAGTCAGGTCATGAGGGCAGTAGCCTAAGTCGAGAGACCCAGACTTCCCTCTCCCCAGCCACTTGGTCCAGCTCTTCCGGGGGAATCTCAAGGCGTTCCCTGGCCAGGTGAGACATAGTCCCTCCAACATGTCCTGGGTCTACCTTCAGGCCTCCTCCAGGTTGGACGTGCCTGGAAAACCTCACCAGGGAGGCATCCTGACCATATGCCCCAGCCACCTCAACTGGCTCTTCTCGATGTGGAGGAGCAGTGGATCTACTTCGAGCCCCTCTCAGATGACCAAGCTTCTCACCCTGTCTCTAAGGGAGAGTCCAGCCACTTTGCTGAGAAAACTCATTTTGGCCGCTTGTATCCGCGATCTCATTCTTTCGGTCACTTCCCAAAGCTCATGACCATAGGCGAGGGTAGGAACGTAGATCGACCGGTAAATCAAGAGCTTCACCTTCTGACTCAGCTCTCTCTTCACCACGACAGACCGGTACAACGCCCGCATCGCTACAGATGCAGCACCAATCCATGTATCGATCTCATGCTCCAGTTTTCCATCACTCGTGAACACGACCCCGAGGTACTTAAACTCCTCCACTTGGGTCAGAACCTCATCCCTGACCCGGAGAAGGCATTCTACCCTTTTCTGAATCAACAAGATGTGGTGCTACATAAATACATTGAAATGGGTTTAACTGAATCTTGAAAATGATCCTTTTCAGTCATAAAAAAAGTCTAAACAAGCAAAAAAAAAAGTACAAATGGAAGTCAAAGACCTTTAGTCTACAACGGGGTGGGCAATCCGAGTCCTCAAAGGCCACTTTCCAGCAGGTTTTAGTTGTTTACCTGCATCAACACACCTTTTTCCTGGATGAATCACCTGTTTAGCAGCTCATCAGGCCATGCAGCAGCCTGTTAATCACCGTAGATTTAAACCAGATGTGTCCATGATTGGACTGTCCACCCCTGGTCTACAATAGAAGTTGCAAATGAATCTCATTGAGAAAACTATGTATTTAGGTATCTAGAAAGCTGGTTTTTGCACTTACCAAAGGGAACAAACTGTTCTTCTGAGAGTGGGACTTCTTTTACAGGTTTTGGCTCAGTAGATGCCAGCTTGCAGAAATCTCACAAGCCCAACAGAAGACAAGGTGTAATGTAGTTTGGCACAATGTTGCAAACAGAAATGACAAGGCAGCACTAGTCAGTTTAACTTAAAAATTGACAAGTTTTCAAGCTACAAGTACAGCCAACAGATCAAAGCAGGTCCAGGTACACCCAGTACATGCAGGGATAGTGTTGTTGCAGAACAGAAAGTCTCTGGTTCTTGTATCCATCAGGGCAAGCCTCCAGCTAAACTAATTTAAAAGTTTAATCTACAGGAGTGAGTTACGTATAATTAATGTCATGCCAGCTCTGATGTCTTGAGCCCGATGCTAGTGGGACCAGAACCATTTGATGAGAATTGAGCTACTGGAACATTCATGCACTAAGGCAGAAAATATCAAACTGATGGAATCATTAAACCCTTTGAGGACCGAACCATCCTTCTGTTTTTATACTTCACTCTCATGGAGCTGCTTTTTCTACTTCTTTTCTCAAAAGGGTCCTCGGCACAGGCTCTCCAGGCTTTCTGGGTCTTTCAAAGTTTTCTTTGAACTTCAGCTGCTCTTCAGTTTTAGTATATTTTGTGAACTTGACCACAATGTCATATCATGGAATGCAGGGTGTCCTTCAAATATCTGATGAAACTAGCCAAGAGGAAGGAAATACGTGGTTTAATATGCCTTTAAAAAGTTATGTCAGACTGGGAAAGTAGATCTAAAAGACATGTCTTTAAGGGAAAGTAATCAAGTAAACCTCTGGGGGGACGGTGGTCACTGGTGCAGCACCTCCAGGAACTAGAAGGGAGCCACATCACAGCTGAGCTTGAGAGAGCAGAATTTGGAGTCTTAGTTCCTGATTTGGACATCTCACCTCTGATTGGCTAACAGCTACATGACTCTACCACTGTCTCTGTTTGCTCTGCAGTGTGGATGTTTTATCTCCACAAATAACGCAAGCCTGAAGGAGTTCTGCTACGATGCAGACGTTGTTAATGCTAATGCTAATGCTAACAGTTAGCTTTTGCTAGTTGAGACGTTCTCTGTTGTTTCCTGGATGCTAAACAAACAACAGCCTTCCCCATTGTGAGTCAAGATGGGTGAGTCCACAAATGTTCAGTGACAGTGTGATGTAGCTCTGTCAGACTTTCCATGTCCTACAGTTTCACTGTCTATTTTCTATCAGAAGCTAATGCAGAAGGTAGGTGTCGGACACAATTTTCATGTTCAGTCTGCATGAAGAACTCAGAGTGACCGAATATAATCTGGAAAACAGTAAAAAAAATAGTTTTTTGGTGTTCTACACCTTTAAAATGTGAATGTATATATATATATATATATATATATATATATATATATATATATATATATATATATATATATATATATACATATATATATATATACATACATATATACATACATACGCTGTTGCTTTAAAATAAATGTTTAGGATTTTTAAAGTAATTTTGTTTCAATTGTTGTTGCCAAAGATCACTTGACCCGGAGGGATTTAAACACACTGGAAAAGATAAAACTTTATTTCTCCTTTTGTGACAATACAAAGTCAACAAGTGCAATAACATTCTAACTCAAAAAGGTTACATTCTATCTAGTAGGAAGTACATAGACAGAACGTGGTGTACATCACCATCTTCACCACCACACCCAAAAAAAGTGAGGTATCCACCACTACAAAGCTTCTGTGTACAGGTGGGTATTCAACTTTAAGGCAACTGTTACCATGACAACCTGGAGAGAATGAAACAGATGTGTGCTTCCTTTTCCCACCATGAACATTTTATTGTTTCTTCTGTCTGTCTCTCTCTCTCTCTCTCTCTCTCTCTCTCTCTCTCTCTCTCTCTCTCTCTCTCTCTCTCTCTTTCTCTCTCTGTGTGTGTGTGTGTGTGTGTGATTGACAAGGCTTGAGCTGATATGATTTACAGGACCACATCACATCAGGCCAGAGTTAAGACTATTTCCAACAAAACAGAAAACATCACAAAAACATCTGTAACAGCTGTTACATTAAAACAAGGGAAGATTCCTTGTTTGTTTTTTGAGGAAGTCTATTTAATACCCTGCTACTTCTTGTCAGAGACAAATAAAGTTGTTTGTTTTAAATTCCCTGGGTAAGACTAATGGATTATGTAACTGGTGAAGAGAAAAGACCTAGTTGTCTTTATTACGATCAAATGTGTTGAATGGAGCCCTGAAAACCGACGTTCTCACAACCACATCACACTTTCTCCCATTTATCCAAAATTGGGGACTAATTAAATGTCCCATGTCCTGCTGCATCTGGTAAAAATCTCTCCTCCCTGTTTGCTGCCACTGTTCACACTCCAGGGAACAGGGAGACCAAGTGAGAGTAATTTAGAGCTCTTCTGAGCTCCAGGCCAATTATTTCACTTGGACACATCCTGTCTCTTTGCCCCGAGAAGTGACGGCACAAGTCTGCCAGGGCAACCGTGCAATTAAACTTCAGCTATTGAAATGGGAATTAGGTTGCTCTAACAACTCGGAAAATTTGAATATTATTCCAGATAATGACACCCAATGACGCTGTTAGGTTCTGTTAGGGTCCACTTTTAGAGCTTATAGATGGGATGTGAAGGAAAACTCAAATCCTCTGCTTGTTTCACATCTGTTTGCTCTTATTTGTGTGGAACCAGATTACTGTAAGCCAAATCTGAGCAAAGAGCACATGGTTTGTGGATGCCAAGAAGCTAGCAGCTAATTCTGAAGTAGCTAACCTGGTGTTGTCTGGGTGAAGAGACATACAGCATGTCCAGAAAACGTTATGTCAAGCTTTTAAGCTATCGATAAAATAGTGAGCCTGTCTTGCATCTGTTAGTTAAAAACAAATTAAAAGAAGTAAAGCTGCAATGGCAAATTTGGAAAACAACTTATAATTTTTTTTCAACGTTCTAATATAGCATAGCTATAAATATGCTGTAGATACTAGAAACAAATTAACAAAGTGGTTCTCTCCCATTTGTCTAAAAACCTCCACCAACAACACGTTAGGACTCAAAGCAAATACTGGATCATGAAGTACGCCGGTCTTGCCGGACCGGCGTACTTCCCTGGGTCCTCCATTCATCATGCATTTGCGTATTTAGCAACAAAACGCCACTGGCGTGAGAGGTTCAGCTCAGCGATATTGGATCACTGTTCTGTGACTGCGTTTGGGTTCAGAACCTAGCTTGTTCTGTAGATCTGTTACAGCAGCTGTAAGTATTTTGCATTGGGGTCAAAAAAGTATAATCAAAAATGATAAACTGTTCTTTTTTTGGTCACAGTTAAGAAAATTTACTAATCAGTCGAACAAATAAAAGTAAAATGCTGCTGACTTTATTTGAATATTTTAAAAGTCATTTAGCTACTGTTCAAGTGAAAACACCAACATTATACTGATTCTTAAACTTGACAAATTCAACCATTTGGATCATGTTCTCTCTTTTCTCTAGAAATACCAGACAATAAAAGACAGAAAGTAATGTTGGAGCGTCCTTGGCCTGTAGGTGGGGTTTAACCTGGTGCTTCAAAGCCACCATCCTGCATGTTCTTGCTGTTTTTCTCCAACACACCTGATTTAATTGATGATTAATCTTTTCAGCATTAATTATGTAGAAGTCAGTCAGATCAGTCGAGTTAGAGCAGAGAAACATCTGAAACATGCAGGATAGAGGCCCTCTAAGACCATGATGGGTCAGCTTTGATTCAGTTATTGGGGGAAAGCAGAGAGGCATTTTTGGAGATATTTTTTAGGAATTTGTTGTTCAGAACTATTAGACTATTTCACTCAGTTCAGAAATGCTCCTCTGTGATTTGTCAGTAAGGACCTTCTATCCTCCCCCTGATTTAACTACTGTACATTATTGCTGACAGGTAATGGGGTTTCAATGGATTTCTCCTCTTTTATTCAACATTTTCTGTTATGGCAAATTTTATTACAATTATCTGTTACTAATGCGAGATACAGAGTTCCTTATAAAGGAGCTTATGGGCAATCGATTGCATTATATTGCTAATGGAGCTGCTTTACTAGCAACCTCAGATGAATGGAAATATAAGATATTAACTCTATAAATAACGGTATGGGTCTTTGTTAGTTTTTTGGTTTACAGGCTCAACAGCAAAAATTTGGGGTTTGTGTTTGACTTGAAAGCTCCTCCCTGATCCTCATTAACTCTCTGGCTGAAGAGACGAGTGAAACCACGAGCCGACAGAGCCATTGTTCTTGTACAGACACGATACAGTTAAGTCACTCGCTTTTCAAAAAGGAGACTTGAAACATTTCAAACAAGAAACTGTTTTTCTACATTAAACATTCTAAGGGAGATGCTCAGCATCAACCTGAGCTGTTCAGAAAGTTAACCACTCACACATTTCTCTTACTAGATTACATAAATAAATCACCAAATAGATAACCCATAACTGTGTCTAACTGCTACTGAACACAAAGTGACACAGCAGTGTGATAAACACTTCATATCTAGAAAGATGAGCATGTTTTTATTTAAAGACTGCAAAGGAGCTTCACTTGGAAGGTTTTTCCATTACAGTTTGGATTAGTTTGAGATGCTGCAGGCCCTGCCAGCTGTTTTACAGGATCACTAAAACCTTCTGAGCCGTTGGATGAATCCACCTCTCTTCTGCTGAGGCAAAAGTCCTCTGAGATGGACTCGCTCTGCAGGCCTGCTTCTGTCCATCGTCGGGTGTTTGTGCTCGTCAGGAAGGGGCAGTAGTAACTACAACTACATAAGTCCAGGCCAGCATTGGTACTGCTGAGGTCTCCTCTGTAACACGTTAGGAAACCAGGTGTTGCTACTCGTCTGCTTGTCCACTCTCAGCATCACTCTGCATCAAACAAAAGGAAACAGATGAAAGAGAAACATAACCACTCTCTGTATACTCTGTATTTTGTATGCATCTTTCATCCGGTTTAGTTTTTTGTGTATTTCATGTTTTTTTTTATTCCTCCAGTTTATTTAAATAAATAAATAAATAAATAAATAAATAAACAAATAAATAAACAAATAAATAAATAATCCTGGGAGAAAATTTGGTATAAAGTTGAGGGGGGCTCTAAAAAGCCCAATCATTGATATGTACAAAAGAAAATTGTTCATAGAGCTTATTTGACATGGATTATTAGACATAAAATGGGCACTGCACCAGATTCTCTTTGCTTTTTTGGTCCCTTGGGACTCTGGGCTCGTTCATTCATATTGTTTGGGAATATCCTGTGGTTCAGGACCTCTGGGTTAAAGTATTTGGCTGTATTTACTGAGTTGATTGGTGTTTCTCTCCCTTGGATCCTGTTGTTTACTTATTGAATGATGACTCACAGAGTCACAGCTATCACATACAGAGAACACCCAGATAGAGCCTGGCTTGCAGGACTGACTGCTTTGAAAAAAAAAATCATAGCTCAATGATGGAAACCACCTTAAAACATCATCTGCAGGGATGGGCATCCATTGCATTCTGGGTGGACTTAATAAATAACTGTAAGAGACTACTTTCAGATTAGTTAATTTTATTTTAATAAATGTGTGGAACACTTGTTTAATCAGTACTTGTGCAGTCTTTAGTAGGATTGAATAACTCGTAAGTTGTACTCTGGGGCACAAAAAGCTTTGGTGAGCTTGTTTCAGGAAGCAGAAGTGAGCCACATCAGAGTTGAGCTTCAGACGGCAGGATTTGGAGTATTTTTCTTGGTAATTGGGAAATAGTCTACTCTGCAACGTTGATGTTTCAGCTTCACAAATAACACAAGCCTGGAGGAGTTCTGCTGTGTGGTGGAGTTGCTTATGCTAATGGTTAGCTTCTAATAGCAGAAATGTTCTCTTCTGTTTCCTAGGCATAAAAAAAACAACAGACTTCCCGGTCGTGAGTCAACAATCCGTGAATGTAAAGTGACAGTGTGACGTAGATCTGTTAGGATCTTCTTATCCTGGAGTTTCATCGTCTGTTTTCTATCAGAAGCTAATGCAGAAGATAGGTGTAGGAGAATATTTTGATGATCAGCCTGCATGAAAAACTCAGAGTGACCAATGATAATCAGAAAGAATAATTTTGTTTTCATTGAACCACACCTTTAACAGGAAAATTCCAATATTGTGATAGTAAATAGCTAAATTGTATGTGATTGATTCTGGTTTGTTTTTTGACTTTTGCTAGTCTGATATTTGGATCAGCAATACAATTAATAAATAAAATAGTACTTTTCCCAGTACCAAAATTAGTTGATATTATGGGTCTGATATTTTTGTCAGCGGGTATTGGGATTATAATATCATATCAAAAATGATCTGTGTTGATTTTTACTTTTTTAATGACACAACCTTGACACACATTTTGCACATCACACTCTTTCTCTCTCTCTCAAAATGTCAAAATATGGTGGATTGGAGGTATCACTTTAAGGTATTTTTGTTTGTTTGGCACAAAAGGCCTAACCTGAATTGAAGCATTCATCATATTTTCTACTGATCATGTTTAAAGTTTATGTTAGTTACTTAAAATTATTTAGTTTTTCTGGCTTTTATGAAAGGGGAACCTCTAAACCTGGAAGTCCCATCCCACCAGTAAAACTGAAGAAACCTTTTGTATGAGAGGTGAAATATCTCTACGTAACTGAAGAAGTCAATTAGCTTTTTTTGATTATGAATATTGACAAACATAATGCTGTTAATGCCTATTAATTTCATTAAACTACATGAAACACTTCTTTTGTTCATGCTATCCATGTAAACACTAACAGAACACTGGTCATTTAAGGGTTAGGGTCAACGTCAGTGACCATCTGTGAGCATCATTCACTCAGCAATCTCCAAGACAACTAAGAGCTTCCACCAATCATAAAAACCAAGAAAAACAAGCAGTTTGTGGGTTTATTTGGGCTAAATGTGCTACAAATACACAAACATACAGACAGAAGAAAAACACTTAATAAGTGACTATCACTGCCCTAACATCTGCTAAAAGCTTTTATAGCTCAGAGAGCACACTTCTGCATCATCAGCCTCTTAAGTTCCCATCTGAACAACACCGATTTTAGCTTTATGACTGAAAACATCTCAGATTACAATCCTTGTGCATTCTGGTCAGTTCTAATCTTTCTTTGAAAAGGCAAAGAACAAAAACTTAATAGCTGGAAAATTATCTCAATGCCAGAGAACACAATAACTAGTAAAACGTGCCAGTGTTGCATTTCAAAAAGCAGTTCCATTTACAGGAATATTTTATAAATCTGTAAGTCTTGTAAAGACTCCAGGCCCACCTCAGTTGTATGAATCATGTCCACCAAATCTCTCTCTACTGCCCAAAACGTAGCTCTGTGTGCACAAGGAGGTGAGAAAAACCAGCTCATGTGATTATGGCTTTCTTGTAAAAAAAAATTGTTAATTTCTATCCTTCAGAAAGGATTATTGCTCTAATAAGTATTCAAAAAGCTATACCTCATCATCAGCCCTTCCTCTTTATCTGAATTCTCAGTTTTTCTCTTTCTGTGACATCTATGCAATAATTAACTCCCACCACATGGAGTGTTGCATTAATGGACAAGAGCCTGGCATTGTGAGCCAGGGAGGGTATTATAATGTATGAATCTGATTGTTCCACAGAAAGCCAGATGCTGAGCTCAAAGCTGGCTCAGCCAAGAAACAGAGTAAAGGTCTCATTTATCAAACATTGCGTAGAATCCTTACTAAAACTGTTCTTAAGCTCAGCAAAAAAAGGTACTTACGCCAAGTAGGTTTGTCTCGTCTCTCGTCTCGTCTTCCTCCGCTTATCCGGGTCCGGGTCGCGGGGGCAGCATCCCAACTAGGGAGCTCCAGGCCGTCCTCTCCCTGGCCTCTTCCACCAGCTCCTCCGGCAGGACCCCAAGGCGTTCCCGGACCAGATTGGAGATGTAACCTCTCCAACGTGTCCTGGGTCGACCCGGGGGCCTTCTGCCGGCAGGACATGCCCGAAACACCTCCCCGGGGAGGCGTCCAGGAGGCATCCTGACCAGATGCCCAAACCACCTCAACTGGCTCCTTTCGATCCGGAGGAGCAGCGGTTCTACTCCGAGTCCCTCCCGAATGTCCGAGCTCCTCACCCTATCTCTAAGGCTGAGCCCGGCCACCCTACGTAGGAAACTCATTTCGGCCGCTTGTATCCGCGATCTCGTTCTTTCGGTCATTACCCAAAGCTCATGACCATAGGTGAGGATTGGGACGTAGATCGACCGGTAAATCGAGAGCCTGGCTTTCTGGCTTAGCTCCCTCTTCCCCACGACAGATCGGCTCAGCGTCCGCATCACTGCAGACGCCGAACCAATCCGCCTGTCGATCTCCCGATCCCTCCTACCCTCACTCGTGAACAAGATCCCGAGATACTTAAACTCCTCCACTTGAGGTAGGACCTCTCCCCCGACCCGGAGGTGGCAAGCCACCCTTTTCCGGTCGAGAACCATGGTCTCAGATTTGGAGGTGCTGATCCTCATCCCAGCCGCTTCACATTCGGCCGCAAACCTACCCAGCAAGAGCTGAAGGTCAGAGCTGGATGAAGCTAGGAGGACCACATCATCTGCAAAAAGCAGAGACGAGATTCTCCTACCACCAAACTCGACACACTCCACACCACGGCTGCGTCTAGAAATTCTGTCCATAAAAGTGATGAACAGAACCGGTGACAAAGGGCAGCCCTGGCGGAGTCCAACCCTCACTGGGAACAGGTCCGACTTACTACCGGCTATGCGGACCAAACTCACGCTCCTCTGGTAAAGGGACTGAATGGCCCTTAACAGAAAGCCACCCACCCCATACTCCTGGAGCGTCCCCCACAGGATGCCCCTGGGGACAAGGTCATAAGCCTTCTCCAAATCCACAAAGCACATGTGGATTGGTTGGGCAAACTCCCATGCCCCCTCCATCACCCTTGCAAGGGTATAGAGCTGGTCCACAGTTCCACGGCCAGGACGAAAACCACATTGCTCCTCCTCTATCTTAGATTCAACTATCGATCGGACCCTCCTCTCCAGTACCTTGGAGTAGACCTTTCCAGGGAGGCTGAGGAGTGTGATCCCCCTATAGTTGGAACACACCCTCAGGTCACCCTTCTTAAAGATGGGGACCACCACCCCGGTCTGCCACTCCCTAGGAACTGCCCCCGATGACCACGCAATGTTGTAGAGACGTGTCAACCATGACAGCCCTACAACATCCATAGCCTTGAGATACCCAGGACGAACCTCATCCGCCCCCGGGGCTCCGCCGCTGTGTAATTGTTTGACTACCTCAGCAACTTCTGCCCCCGAGATCGGACAGTCCCTCCCCAGGCCTCCCAGCTCTGGTTCCTCCTCGGAATGCGCATTGGTGGGATTGAGGAGCTCCTCAAAGTATTCCTTCCACCGTCCGACTATAGCCTCAGTTGACGTCAGCAGCTCCCCATCCCCACTGTAAACAGTGTGAGCGAGTTGCTGCCTTCCTCTCCTGAGGCGCCGGACAGTTTGCCAGAACCTCTTTGGAGCCGATCGATAGTCTTTCTCCATGGCCTCACCAAACTCCTCCCACGCCCGAGATTTTGCCTCGGCAACTGCCACTGCTGCACCCCGCTTGGCTATCCGGTACCTGTCTGCTGCCTCCGGAGACCCACAGACCAGCCACGCCCTGTAGGCCTCCTTCTTCAGCCTGACGGCTCCCCGAACCTCTGGTGTCCACCAGCGGGTACGGGGGTTGCCACCACGACTGGCACCGGCCACCTTACGACCACAGCTAGCAACAGCCGCCTCGACAATCGCAGAGTGGAACAAGGCCCACTCGGACTCAATGTCCCCCACTGCTCTCGGGACGTGGTCAAAGCTCTGCCGGAGGTGGGAGTTGAAGACCGTCTTGACAGGTTCTTCTGCCAGGCGTTCCCAGCAGACCCTCACTATGCGTTTGGGTCTGCCAGGTCTACGCGGCATGTTCCCTTGCCATCTGATCCAACTCACCACCAGGTGGTGATCAGTTGACAGCTCCGCCCCTCTCTTCACTCGGGTGTCCAAAACATACGGCCGCAGGTCAGATGATACGACTACAAAATCTATCATCGACCTGTGACCTAGGCTGCCCTGGTACCAAGTGTACCGGTGGGCATCCTTATGTTCGAACATGGTGTTCGTTATGGCCAAACTGCGGCTTGCACAGAAGTCCAATAACAAAACACCAGCTCCTCCTTGAACCGTCACCTTATCGTGGTGGAGGAGTTTGAGTGCCCTAATGATCCTAGGAGCTATGTTGTCTGGGGCACTTAGTGCCCCTGGTAGGGTCTCCCATGACAAATTGGTCTTAGGTGAAGGGTGAGACAAAGAACGGTTCGAAGGATCTTTCATGGCGGTTAAAACGAAGAGTCGGAGTACCCGGCCCGGAGGGTTACCGGGGTCCCACACTGGAGCCAGGCCTGGGGTTGGGGCCCGTGAGCGAGCGCCTGGTGGCCGGGCTTTCGCCCATGGGGCCCGGCTGGGCCCAGCCCGAACCGGATACATGGGCTCGTCCAACTGTGGACCCACCACCCGCAGGAGGAACGTGAAGGGTCCGGTGCAATGTGAATCGGGTGGCAGACCAAGGCGGGAGCCTTGGCGGTCCAATCCCCGGACAAGAAAACTAGTTTTTGGGACATGGAACGTCACCTCGCTGGCGGGGAAGGAGCCGGAGCTTGTGGCAGAGGTTGAGCGGTACCGGCTAGATATAGTCGGACTCACCTCGACACATTGCATTGGCTCTGGAACCCGAGACCTGGAGAGGGGTTGGACACTCTACTTTGCTGGAGTTGCTCCGGGTGAGAGGCGGAGGGCTGGGGTTGGCTTTTTGTTAGCCCCGAGACTCTCTGCCTGTGTGTTGGGGTTTACCCCGGGGGACAAGAGGGTAGCTTCCTTGCGCCTTCGGGTCGGGGAACGGGTCCTGACTGTTGTTTGTGCTTATGGGCCAAATATCAGTTCAGAGTACCCACCCTTTTTGGAGTCCCTGGGACGAGTGCTAGATAGTGCTCCATCAGGGGACTCCATTGTCCTGCTGGGGGACTTCAATGCTCACGTGGGCAATGACAGCTTGACCTGGAGGGGTGTGATTGGGAGGAATGGCCCACCTGATCAGAACTCGAGCAAGTAGGTTTGTGATCTATCAAACATGGAGTACGCACAGCTGCACGCAATGTCTGCTTCATAAATCGGAGACTATCTAGAATGTTTCTCAGCTGCTTTTTAGTCACATCCCGCCCTCACCACGCCCACTTACTGCCATAAATAGTCAATGCAAAATGCCTTGTGGATCTCATGCATATACATAAGCCGGCTGTTGCAGCGCTCCGCCAGTGACATGGCGACCGTAGACCAAGGTAGATCAAGGAAGCGCAATTTCACAAGCAGAAATTGAGGTACCTGTGGGTGAGGTGGAGAAATCAAAGGAAGTGCTTTTGCAAAACAAATAAGAGAAAATTCACGGAGTGGCACAGCGTTGCTGAAGCCGTCAATGCTGAGTTCTTCAGAGAGATCTGTGGTGGATATAAAAAAGAATGGCCCAATCAGGATTTGATCCCCAGACTCCCGGGTGAAAGTCGCGCATGCTAACCAGTCAGCCAAATGGAGATCTCCCCTGTACAAGTAGCCAGGGCACATTAGTAATCAAGTCACAGTGACAGGACACACACTGTCACAATCTGTCCCCCTGCTGATATTCTGCATTCCGTATTCTGCGCTTCAGGCTGTGTGTGTGTGTGTGTGTGTGTGTGTGTGTGTGTGTGTGTGTGTGTGTGTGTGTGTGTGTGTGTGTGTGTGTGTGTGTACGCGCGCGCATGTGTGTGTGTGGGGGGGTCTTGTTCTGTGTGAAAACGAAGCAGTACAAGTGATAATGCTGCAGGATTTCATAATTTTATCCTTCTCAGCAGCAGCACTGCAGGTGCTCTCCATGTCCAACATGTGCGTAAGCCAGGTCCTTAGCCAACTTAAAGTTGCGCACATTTTTCCACTAAGTTTTCTTTCATAAATCCCAAAGTTTGCGTGGAAAGCTGCTTACGCAGTTTTCCGACCCCGTTTTGTGCGTAAGCAAGCTTGATAAATGAGGCCCCTGGACTTTGATCACGCTGACAGCACAAATAAAAAGGCAGAAGGATTTTCAGCCTCCTTTGTTGTCATTTCCTGCTCAGCAGATGTTGAAGCGCAGGTGTTAGAAACACTTACGTGTGACCAAACAAGTGATGTAACAACTGTTGATGATCACATTCACTACACTATCTCTGAGTCACGGCGGCGCGGCTGTAAGAGGCCGTGTTACGGCGCGTGGTGAGTCAGGTGTGCGCCGAATGTGGTGACAGATGCCACCTCACATGGACCGGTCCGTCTACCCATGGCTAAAGCTCAGCTGGCCTGCTAAGCTGAGAGCCCAGAGCGAGTTGGCGTAAACTGGCAGGAGGGGCTGCTGCATCTCACCATCCTATTCCTCAGTTGCCAAGGCAGTCGAGTTCTGGTATCGTCTAATATCGCCCAACATCTTATCTTTTTCTCTGACCCTCCTGGCAGATGCTAAGCATAAACAAAACAATATTATATTTCTAAATCTGCTGCTAAATGGGAGTATTTTGGTTCTCATCTTGAACGCATGAATGTTTTTTCCACAGTGGGATTTGATCCAAGCCAACTCAAATGTCAGCAACAGGTATGGTAGTTCTTACTTTTCACATAAGGAAGGATGCTAGATGCTACAAAAGGAATGTAAAATAAGATGGGATAGGGTATAGAGGAGCTTCACAGCCAGATTTCACACTGTCTCCAGGCTGATGGTGCACACTGAAACAACAAGTGGAATAAAACAACCCTTAATACCAACTATAGCATTTTAAACCAACAACGTAAGACAGTAAGGGACTTTTATTGTGATGCAAAAGGAAGGAAATAAAGTTTTTGTCTTTACATGTTTGAGTAAAACACCTCTGACTGAAAATCTGCAGGTTATTTCCTATTCTATTGGCTCCACAGGACTGAATGGATCAATCAAAACCTGCAGCACTGATTGCAGGGATGAGACGTCCTCATTTCCATGGCCGGGCTGTATGCTAATGCAGGAGGAAAAAACACTTTCAGATACAAGCCTTTGAAAAGGGTCCATCACGGGCGCTCGTCTGATGGTAATTCCCTGTTTGTGAAGCATCGGTCCCTATGAAGTGAAGATAAAACCATAATATCAAGCAAACCCAGTATTTTCCTCTCGCCTCTTATTCTACATAATCTGGTGAGGAAGGTGAATTAGGTTTTCTTAGGTTTTCTTTATTTTCTCCATGTGAAGTGAATATGTGGCTAGTGGAGATTAATAAATGGTATCCATGGTGAGAAAGTAATAACACTTTCTCAGGCCGCCCCCACAGCGAACCCCCAGCAGATCTGCAGCAGTATATACCAGCTCACACTGGGATATGGTAAGCAGTGTGGTCACATGTTGAACGCTCTGTGTGCACGTGAAGAAATTAGTAAAGAGCTTGACTTAGCTGCATTAGTTAGCATTTGATTCTTAAGATTCACTTGGTTTGATCTCTGTTCACATTTGACTGTCAGATGTCGAATTAGAAGGTGCAGTTTTCTGAACCATCACCTTGCATCCTCCTCCACGCCTCAAATAAAGTGTATACAGGTGCTGGCCAGTAAATTAGAATATCATCAAAAGGTTGAAAATATTTCAGTAATTCCATTCAAAACGTGAAACTTGTACATTATATTCATGCAATGCACACAGACCAATGTATTTCCAATGTTCATTACATTTAAATTTGATATTCATAAGTGACAACTAATGAAAACTCCAAATTTGGTATCTCAAAAAATTAGAATATTCTGAAAAGGCTGAATATAGAAGACACCTGCTGCCACTCTAATCAGCTGATTTACTCAAAACACCTGCAAAGGCCTTTAAAAGGTCCCTCAGTCTTGTTTTGAAGGCACCACAATCATGGGGAAGACTTCTGACTTAACAGCTGTCCAAAAGACAATCATTGACACCTTGCACAAGGAGGGCAAGACACAAAAGGTGATTGCTAAAGAAGCTGGCTGTTCGCAGAGCTCTGTGTCCAAGCACATTAACAGACAGGCGAAGGGACGGAAAAATGTGGTAGAAAAAAGTGTACAAGCTCTAGGGATAACCGCACCCTGCAGAGAATTGTGACGACAAACCCATTCAAAAATGTGGGGGAGATCCACAAAGAGTGGACTGCAGCTGGAGTCAGCGCTTCAAGAACCACCACGAGGAGACTCATGAAAGACATGGGATTCAGGTGTCGCATTCCGTGTGTCAAGCCACTCTTGAACAAGAAACAGCGCAAGAAGCGTCTCGCCTGGGCCAAGGACAAAAAGGACTGGACTGATGCTGAGTGGTCCAAAGTTATGTTTTCTGATGAAAGCAAGTTCTGCATTTCCTTTGGAAATCAAGGACCCAGAGTCTGGAGGAAGAGCGGAGAAGCACAGAATCCACATTGCATGAGGTCCAGTGTAAAGTTTCCACCGTCAGTGATGGTGTGGGGTGCCATGTCATCTGCCGGTGTTGGCCCACTCTGTTTCCTGAGGTCCAGGGTCAATGCAGCCGTCTACCAGGAAGTTTTAGAGCACTTCATGCTTCCTGCTGCTGACCAACTTTATGGGGATGCAGACTTCACCTTTCAACAGGACTTGGCACCTGCACACAGTGCCAAAACCACCAGCACCTGGTTCAAGGACCATGGTATCCCTGTCCTTGATTGGCCAGCAAACTCGCCTGACCTTAACCCCATAGAAAATCTATGGGGTATTGTGAAGCGGAGGATGCAATACGCTAGACCCAACAATGCAGAGGAGCTGAAGACGACTATCAGAGCAACCTGGGCTCTCATAACACCTGAGCAGTGCCACAGACTGATCGAGTCCATGCCACGCCGCATTACTGCAGTTATTGAGGCAAAAGGAGCCCCGACTAAGTATTGAGTGCTATACATGCACATTCTTTTCATGTTCATTCTTTTCAGTTGGCCAACATTAGAGAAACAAACATTTTTTCATTGGCCTTTAGAATATTCTAATTTTCTGAGATACCAGATTTGATGTTTTCATTGGTTGTCACCTATAAATATCAAAATTAAACGTAATAAACATCGGAAATACATTGGTCTGTGTGCATTGCATGAATATAATGTACAAGTTTCACGTTTTGAATGGAATTACTGAAATATTTTCAACCTTTTGATGATATTCTAATTTACTGGCCAGCACCTGTAGGTCATGTGATGACACACTGCGTGGGCAGCATTCACATTAGATACAGCATCCTGATCCATTTTGGGTACTTAACACTTTTTAAAAATGACCAAAGCTATCTGGATTGTGAGACGTGTCTAAATGTGTGAAACAGACGATTCTAATCTTGTCCTAGAAAATAGCTTCTGACTGAATTTAGCTCCAAGCATTTGTCGCTTTGGTTTTCAGATATAATTAAATGTTTTTAGGTCATGGGTCACTGCTGTCCTGTTTATTAAAGAGCTGTCACCCTTTTTACAAATAAAGATGTTACACAAGATGACATCACATCCATCATTGACATCAACGTGATGCTCTTGTGCTTCAGTTAGCTGTAGTTTCACACATCTTGACACAATCCACCTTAAAGCTGTGGGAGATCTACAGGGCACCCTGGCCAGTCAATGATTGATGAGTCCCATCATAGTGAACAGACTTCCTGTCTAATGAGGAAGCTCCATAGATTTGTTGAGTCTGAGCTAACCACGTTTCCATGAGCGGAGCGGTCTCTAGATGCTCTCTGCAGCATCCCGGCTCCTCCGTCTCCGGCTCCCACAGTCCACACCACTTCTCGGAGCCATTTATCAAACCTTTGCAACATGAAATTATCATGACCCAAGAGACACGTCTGGGAGGAGACGGAAGCCCAGTCAAACAGATAGGGTCCACTGCGTCTGAGACGGAGACCTGAATGAAAAATTGACTGCATAAGAGTGGATGTTTGTTCAGGCTGTGCGCCTCGATTGTGTAGCTTCATCATCAAAGTTTGAACAATGTCTGGCAACAGAGGAAAAGTTCCCTGCAGCTACAGTGTTAAAGCTCAATGTTGGCTTCGTTAATCATCCTGTTTGTCTTAACAATAGTCACACGTGGGCTAATGCAGCCTGAGACTTGTGTGACTGCTCGTGTGTGTGTGTGTGTGTGTGTGTGTGTGTGTGTGTGTGTGTGTGTGTGTGTGTGTGTGTGTGTGTGTGTGTGTGTGTGAGACCCAGAATCCACCAGGATAAATTTCACCAAATAATCCCAGGCAGGGGAAGGAAATTAGACCTTTTCTTCTATTCATTAAAACAACATCTTAATGAGATGGTTAGACGTAAAAAAACAAGAAACTCCTCCAAAGAAAAACATGTCTGAAGAGGCAGAGTGCAGCTATTTCTAGACCAAAGATCAAATGTTTTGCTGGAAGTTATTCATTAGTGGGCAGAAGGAGGGAATTCATAAAATCCTGATTATTTATTCCAGT